CAGATTCGAAGTCATTACATATTCCATGGCCAAGGGGAGCATGGTGGGCAGGTCGGAGTGCTCAATTGCCAGGGCCTCTGGATGCCATCCTCTTGCGCTGCTGAGCAGTCCTGCCAAACGGGGTGAAAGCGGCAGCTGTCAAACTGGGTTGGTTGGGGAACAAAACGTGGAGCCAGGTTTGCATTTTTAAACGGGTTTGTCTTGAAACTGAAAAATGAGGTTTTCAGCGTCCTTTTTTGCAGGCCACGGACTTGCAGGGCGTGTCGGGCAGAGTATGGGTTTTCTCTTGCAGAGTCATTGCAGCAGACCAGCCAGTGCCGCGGCCGCACCGAGTAGCGGGAGTCCTTTTTACAGGCATGTGAGAATCGTGGCGTTTTGTAATTTCAAACCAATTTAACACTTTACGGTTTTCCTCGATGAATCACATTCGCGCAAGCCGGGAGGGAGAAAAGCCCGGGAAGTAGAAAGGGAGCAGTGAATGTAGCCACCGCACGTTATACAGAGGCGCTGACTGGTGGGTCGAATTTTTTTAGAGGGATTCCCGCAGATTGGTTTTTTAAGCCATTGTAGCTGCCCTTTGACGTTCAGGCTGGAAATGGGAATTGCGTCTCGGACGAGGAGCCAATTTGGGGGTCGCACATCCTCCGAGGGGCTTATTCAAACGTTTTTAGTAGCTACATGAAAAAAACTTTTCGAGACTGTCAAAGGCCATCAGTGACTGTCAGCTGGGGGGCACGGGATCTCTTAACTTTCTTTTTTGTTGGGGCCACTTGCTGGTTCGTTTATTTTTTGAATTTCCGCTATTAGATGGAGCAGAAACTATTTAATCTCGTTTCATTTCTTTTTTTTTGATTTCGGGTGGAAGTGAAGCGTGACGTGCTGTAAATTTCCTTGCATGGGGGAGTCCTGGATGCAGGAAACAGTTAGAGGAAAAGGAACAAACCGTATTAGATAGACTTTAGACTTGATGCAGTTGGTTGATGATAGATGAGTAGTGTAGCTGATCGATTCCTGACATAGATACTCATAGTATTGATCATGTATTATAGTCAGTTTCTTGCATCCGCATTGAACGGTGGTAGGTACACACTGTCACACCTTTTTAACAGGTGAAGAGACACTTTTGCGTTGGTGCAAGAGTTTGTCCTCAATGGTGCGTAGATGCAGTAATTATATTTGGTCTCTTCAGAAAAAAAAGAGCCAGCTTATTAATGACAGTGTATGTGGATACTGATGTGTATTCTATTATCACAAACACGGCCGACCAGAGATGCTGGGCACCGGGCGCATGCTGCGTGATCAACGTAGACAATGCTAAGGATATGAAAAGTGGATTGAGGATCGTCATGACTGCTGGCACAGAAGACTAACACGTGCCCCCTTTTGGGATATGCCCATGCATGGGATTCCCCTTTCAATCAACTAGACAGATATTCGCCTCACACATTCAAAGGATAAGAATGAGAATGATCGTCACAAATGGAATTTGAACCATGCTGGTTTTGCACAACCGATAGCCATGATAAATTCGTGCTTTTGATGGTTTCGTTCCATTCCATCAAGAAAATGACACTGGGTCCTCGCTTGTGGTTTTTCAGAGGAGTATACGTGAAGGAAACGTCAACCTGGTGTTGGAAGAAGTCATGCTCAGTGGGATGAACGTGACCTCCACGTGACCCAGTGTTCTATCCAGAACTGTGTGTCTGTATTGCCCCACAGCCCTAACGAATCCATTTATCTAGGGGAGCCAATTGGCGTCTTGCGTGTGGAGTGCTATGAAACCACTCTGATGCGTTGCACTTCCATATACCTCAGTTCTGAGGCGTGTCTCCTACTGTGTGTTGTTAATTGACTCATGGTACACAGTAACACTGAAAGGCGAAGGTATGTCTTGTTCCTAGTGCTCTGTGCCCACCTGTGTGTCCTGTGGATGTAGTGTGTGTGAGGGCTAAACAGGTAATGGAGCTGTTTTCCGTATAGAGTGCACTGGTGTATGGTGTTGATAAAGTGTATATGGTCGCACGCTTTAGTTGATGCTGACTGTGGCTGGTAGAGTTGTACCGTGTATGAAAGACAAGTTGCTTGCGAGCTCTCATGTGAGATCACTCGCCTATTATGCTAATATGGCTGATTTGCTCAGGGAGGCCTGTTGGCGAGTGGGCTCTAGTAGTGGTGTCGCGATTCGAACGTGACGGAGGAGCAAGGGAGGGGCGTGGCTGCCGGCCTATGTGGTGATGTTGACTCTCTAGGATCGGGTCAATAGTGTCAAGTGTTGGGTATTAGCGGTGTTTGTGGTATATGTGCTTATTTGTTGTGTTTTGTTCTCTGATGTTCGTATTTCTTCTAGTAATGGCATTTGTTGTGGGATAGTCCTCTCTAGTGATGTGCTGACAACGTAGTCTTGCGTGCTCTAGGCCGTGGCCGGTCAGAGTTGTGGATTTGCTTGTTGCTGACGCTCTCGTGTGTTGGTCCTTCATTGCAGTGGGTGTGGCGGACGGCTATCCGCGTTTTTCTTTTTCCGTGCTGACATAGAACGGTTCTTGAGGTAGTCCGTATTTCCTAAGTGGTTGTCGTGTGGTTCGTCCGTCTCTCTCTCTTCTGTACGTCTTCTCTCCCTCCTGTCCTGCTTTTCTCTCTCTCCGTCTCTCATGGCTGTTGTCGAGTCATGTCATTGCGACCAATTTGTTGTGTGTTGTGTGCCGCTGGGCGGTGGCACAATTTTTCAGTTTTGATGTATTGATATAGGTCCCAAATCACGTACGTCTGCTCGTGTGGTAACACACAGCAATACACAGACGCACATGTAACACTGACAGAAATAAGCACTCACACACACTTACCAGCAGCCCCAGATGGAGGCTGACAGTTGCATGTGTATAAAAAGATATTTTGGAGAAAACGTGATAGAGAATGAGGTGAAACGAGTCAGGAGGGAGGAGGAGGCAAGCTATATGGGGCGGGATAGTGAGAGACAAAGAAATTGATGCAGGCAAAGAGAAACGGGGAGATAAAATTCAAAGCTCCACTGCTCTCACTAGCAATTAAAATAATTTCGGTATAATTTGAGAAAGGCCTGAGCCGTCTTATCAGTTTCCAGATAAGTCTCCTCCTCCTCCTCCTTCTCCTCTTCCACAACCAGAATGCATGCAAGGCCGTCATGACTGAAAACTGACAGCGCACACTGATAGTGACTACCATATGGCCGCCTCCTCTCCACTCAACTCCTTCCTCTTGCGGCTCTCGGTCCTGCACAAACACGTACAGATGCATGCTCTCTCTTACTCTCTCACACACACGCACAAACAGGTCAGCCGATAGCCATTACCAAGATTCTGAAAGGGCAGTAGCCACATCTCAAATTGAGCACCGGCTGAACTGTGAGCTTGTTGCCTTTCTTGTCTGTTTCCCAATGTATTTTCATAAATGTACCTGTCTAGTTGTGCGTGCATGTAGTTTTTACCACATAGCATAACATGCTTTTTCTTTTTTTTTTATCCTGTACAGTATGTATTTGTTTTTGGGTGTCATCTGTCATCTCTCCATTTCTCACCTCACGTCACCCGAGAAAGTTCGTTAAGTGTTTGGCTTCCTAATTGAAACTAGGGATGGAAATTTTGATTAAAAAAACATGATGAAAAAGAGAGGGGCTGCACACTGGAGAAAGTGTGGGCGAGCAGCAAAGCAAACTGAAACAGGGACTGAAACCTAATGTTATGTTGTCTCTATTTACGGGGTTACTTGCTTGCTAAAAATAGCAGCCCACCACTCAGGTGGTGGGCATGTATGCAATAACAAACACAGCTAAAATTCAATTGATCGGAGAGACACAATAGGTGAGGCATCTTGCAAATACTTAAACGCGTTTGATGTGGATGGGACTTCATGTCATTGGTGCGTTGCGTGGGAACAGCGAGGGCGGACCTTCTCAAAACGGAGCGGCAACAAGGCACTGTCAAACGTTTATCCTATTACTATTTGGATGGAGCCTACGTCAAACCTAACTTGAGTCAGTCTTGCGCATTAACACGTCTACCCAAACAAGGTAGGTGTTTGGGGAAGCAGCAGTTATAGATTTATAATATTATAGTCATGGTTTAACAGTATACCCCTTGAGATACACAAATCTCACTTGAGATAATTGCCCAGTTCCTCATATACTGTCTATAGTGGAATTGTTGAGGTCAAACTGTTGACACTGTTCCTGGTAGTTGGTGTGATGTGACAACTGACTACAGACTTTCTGCTGCTTTACATAAACAATTGTGGCAGGAAAATGGTCAGTGACAGTTACAGATGTGCGTGTATGTGGTATGTGTGTGTGTGTTGGGTGATGACAAAATGTGCAGGTAGCCTGGTTTCAGAGCATTATGTGTGTGAACTTGTGGTCCGCTACTGTTTTTCACAAATGGCTCCAAACTGCCACCATCAGCATGTGTTTGTATTCGTGAAAGAGATTGAGCAAGGATAAGAAAAAAAAGAAGAGAGAAAATCATATGGAGAACAAGCGCTTTCCAAGACTAATGTTCTTGAATGAGATGACATTTGGTGTGATCAGAAATTTATGGAGTAACTTGCTCTTCTATTTATCTGTGGTGCACAAGGAAAGCTTCAATGGGCATGCCTAGTAAGAGGCGGCAAGGTGGCAGCATGTCTGCGTCATTTGGGAGGTTTGCTGATTGTCACGGACACACAGAGGGCAACGTTCCAGTGAACAGGAGGTGGGTGCAGTGACATAAGCAGGGCGCAGTACCCTTACTGTACACAATACTCTCACAACACCTACATATGGAGGGGTCAAGGACATGCAGACACTGACTCAAACATGCGCCTTTTATTTTGAAGCTTAAAGTAGTCCACAAAAGGATACTGACCGTCTGTGTCTTTCATTATAAGACTATTTATTTTCCTTTGTCCGTCATAATGTATGTTTTTCTAAGTGAATACATCTTTTTTGCAGTCTGTGAGCAGAT